GGCACGCTGTGCTTCCTTCAATGATGCTACTACACTTTACTACTCATTGTTAAACTGCCAGAGAGCAGGAATCGCTTGTATTTTATTTATTGCTCTCTCCTTATCATCTAGCATGTGCCTGGTACGTGGAAATAAAAGCGTATTTGTTTTAAAAAGTACACAGAACAAAATACCGGACATGTACTTCTCAAAACTGTCAGGGCCAACAAAAACAAGGTCAAAGAAACAGTCCTAGCGTAGAGGAGCCTAAGGAGACATAATAACTAAGTGCAATGAGGTCTCCTAGATAACGACCTAAGACAGAAAAAGGACATAGGTAAAAAGTAAGGAAGGCTGAATAATGTATGGGCAATTAGTAGTAATATAGGGTGTCCCAAAAAAATGTATACACACTTGGAATAATTATTCCAATGGGTTAAATCTGAAAAAAAAAATGTCCGTTGAACTATCAGCTTTTAGTGGTGTGTACATTTTGGGGGGATATCCTGTATATCAATGTTTGTTCATTAATTGTGACAAGTATGTCCTACTAATGTTAGATGTTAGTAACAGAAGCTGGATGTAGAATATATGGAGCTCCCTGTATTCAATGCTTCTTAAAACTACAACTCTTCTAAAATAAAAGGTGTATTAATGAAACTATGGCTAACCATCTCTCAGCACCTTTGTGCCTTCCCACTCCCCAGTTAGTGATCCATCATTGCTTTGACCGACCCTCTCCACTTGCTCTTCATAGCCTCGATAAAAGACCCTTTCTATTTTCTAAACCTGGAAACATGGAACATGCTATTGCGCGGCAGTGAGAAGCCTGAGTTCTAGTCCCACTCTGCCATCTTTCCACCATAAGATATTGTATAGATGGGTCCTCTTCTGTGGGCCTTAATTTATCCATCTATTCAATGGGAAGTTAAGATTAGAAGGTTCTTTAAGTTGCTCCATGAAGACAGAGATCATATCTGGTCCACCTTTGTATCCTCAGCTTCTAACAGTCCCCATCGCATGATAGGTCTGTTGAATGAATAAATCAATAAATATTGCTTGATGCTCTAACATTCAAACTACAAACTGAAACTTCTAGAATCAGCCCAACATTTCCAAATCTCCTTTCTTGTGCACTTAATTTTAAGTTCTGAGTCATGTCTTTGTGACTCTAACATCGCTCATAGCAACTTTACAAGCATTTTGGGCAATAAGTGAAAAGAACTGCACCCGATGAATCATGCCTTGCTAGCTCCGTGCACCCTGGAGTTCAGACTGAGTGGTACCGCTGAGATGGCAGGATAATCAGAGCAAGATTCTATTATGCTGGGTGTCATTCTAGTTTCAGGGAGTCTTCCCAAAGGATCCATCTACACCTTCTTAGCAATTTTTTCCAACAGACCCAGCATGAGAGGGTCTCTTTAGGAGACCCTGACAGATATCTTAGAGGAAGGTAGCTCAAGCCTAGGAGTGAGAGAAACTAAAAGCCACAAAAAAAAAAAAAAAAAAAAAAAAAAATCTGACTCCCCTACATTGTTTAGAGACCCAGATTTTAGACCCAGCCCCAATCTGCTTGTCATCCATACCCTGAGACCTGGGCAAACTTTTCCCAGTGCCTCTGCCTGGCTCACCTCCCAGAGCTGAGGAGGGGTTGGGGTGAGAACTAGATGAGCTCTCTTTCCAGCTCTTCAGAGGAGCTGCACGCTCTCTCATCTGTGGGCATTTCCTCTGCACAAAGCGGTTTCTCCCATATATCGCTCACCCTCACCCTGCGAGAGCAGCCTCCTGGCATCCATCCTGTATCTAAAGTCTCCCCTGATACACGCCCAACTGTCCATCGCTTAGATAAGGCCCTCCACACACTTCTACATTCCCTTTCTTCAAACCACACTCCAGTATAATCACTCATTCCACTGTCTGTTTCCATCACCAGACTGGCAGCCACAAGGTCTTGTTCACCTTTTGATCCTGTGCCCAGCATGTTCCTTGGCACCTAAGTAATAAATAAGAACTTGTTGAAGAAACAGGTGAGTCAGTGAGTGAGTGAGTGAGTGAGTGAGTGAGTGAGTGAGTGAATGAGTGAGTGAAGAAACGTGTGAACAAATGAATTATTAAATGCTCTATAATCTTACAATTTGGGGGGTAGCTTACCTCAAATTTCTCTATAGAGCTGGTGAGGCTTTTTCAGCATCTGTAACAAAATTATCTGAATAGTTCGTTGTTGCAGTTGTAAATCCCCACAGAGTTTTCCCTGGTGTGTTTCAGAAGACTGAACACAAGCACTGATACCCTGTCTTCCAACTCTTCCCTGCCTCCCAGTTTCTGCTTTCCACCTACCTCCCTACACTCTGTCCTATTTCTCTTTGTCTCTGTCTCTCCTTTCTGCTGTCTCTGTCTCCATCTGTTTCTTTTCCCTTCCCTTCCCCTTTCTCTCTTTTTCTCCCTCTCTTTTATGCATCATCCACCCTCTCAGTCCCATCTCCATCCTGCCCCATCCACGCACATCTGGAGCACTCTCCATGTATGGTCCACCTGTGGCAGGAACCTTACAGATGACACCTCACTTTCCATCCTACCCACCTTGTACAGCCTCGTTTGTACTTTGGGGGGACAGTGGTCAAGAGTATGAGCTTTGGTGTTAGAGTTAGCTGGTTCTAGGCCTGGACTGGCTGTGTAATCTTGGTCAAGGGACCTAACTAAGTTCTCTGATCGTCAGCGTCCTGATCAGCAAAATGAGGTTAAAATGTCCCTGATAGAGGATTGCAAGGATTAAGTGAGATAATGCTTGGGAAATGCTAGTGCTGTGGTAAATGTGACCTCTCATGTTCCTGCCCATTCTACATTCTACCACAGTGACTGCGTCTGTGTTATCTGCAAACATTCTTAGTAGCAGAGGTCTTTGTGGAAGATGGTGAACACATCTTCATTCCAGCCTTGTCCTCTCCCAATTCTATAACTGCCCAGAGCCCGGGTGCCTCTGCCTCTGACTCTCTAGTCTTTTTGTGCCAAATGTTAATTTGGACAGAATCTATAATATATAGAAGGAAACATCTCCAAACGTGGCCTCCCCCAAAATCATTTGAGGAGCTTTTAGTAGTTAAAAACATGTGGAGTAAGTCCAGGAGATTTGTCTTGGTGACAAAAAGCATGAATATTTACAAAAGCATCCAGAGTGATTCTGATGGGAGAACAAGCATTGGAACTTCTAGTTTAACTGAATGGATGCTCATGTGATAATGAACGAATGAGTCAATAGGGGATGATAAATTAATTAATTAATTAATCCTATATAATAAAAATCTAATATGCAAATTGCCCCTCAACCAGGAGTTCGATTGGAAGTTTGACCAGGAGATGGGGTCGACCACCAACTGCCTGTGGTCCCTCCCTCATGGCAGCCCCCCCAATTGGTCCCCTTCACCCCAATCAGGGGTGGGGCTGGCCCACCAACTGCCTGCAGCCCTTTCCCCACTGGGCCCTGATTGGGGTGGGCTGGCTGGACCCCACCTGTGCACAATTTCATGCATCAGGTCTCTAGTGAATAAATAATAGGTCTACCTTCACAGGAAGAAATGTTAATATTTTCCCTCAGATCTGTGCTCCAGACTCCAAAATGTGTGCCCATTTGTTCTAGGCTTTTCCAAACACAAAAACTTAGCTGTTCTCAATCCCTTTATTTCCTTTGCCTTCCCCCTGATCTCATCCCAAAAGCTTTGCTTCCCTGGGGTCTATTTTCTTCATCTTCTTGCAGCTTCCCCATGTCCTTTCCAGTTTCCCACTTTAGTCCTTTTAGCTTCCACTTCCCTTCTTATTCTCTCTCAGCTGGGCTCATGCCACCTCCCGTTGTAACATCTGTAAATTGGGGCTCTTTTCAGCATCCCAAGACACTTGTGTGGGAAGGGTCTTTGAACACAAGAGTTACACAAAACAAATTTATTTGATGAACCGCAGTGACCAATAGGGTCAGAAAATAGCACAGATATTCCAAGAAGAGGCAGGCTGGGGATAGGGGAGGGACACTGCAGGCAGCCTCCTCCACTCTCTATCCAGGACCACTGATGAGTTCCAGGTGGGAGGTCTCTGCAAGTCCCCAGGAGGGTCTCTGAGGGGCACACCCTCTTCCCTTCTAGAAGCTTCTTTCACCCTTGACTGGATGCTTTAAGGACAGCCTTGGGCTGAGAAAGTGAGTCTATGGAAGATTCTGGCTTGTGGCAGGAAGACTACTAAGCTGAGTCTCTTTATTCTCCTTCTCCTCCTCCCTCCACTCCAAGTTGGCTCCATCCCAGCAATGACCAAGATGTCAATTTACACCAAGCTGGGCTCTTCCTGCCTCCGCAGCTGATGTCTTATCCTTCACATGTAGAATCCTCCAAAGACAAAACCCGGAATATACACACCCTGCCCCAGCTCACAAAGGAGAGACCATCAATGTTGCCCTCTGGATGTGTGAACTCATGCTCTCAGCTTTGCACGGCTGCTCCAGGTACTGCTCTCGGCCCCCAACCAAGCAGAAGAAGCCAAGGGGTCCGATCCTGATGGTGGAGTGAAAAAAACCCACAGGGCTCTTTACCCCAGGGCAAGGAGGTGCCCCCCCCCCTTAGGAAGAGAGTCCCAGACCCTGGAAAAAGGGAGGATGCTGAAAAAAACACCCATAAACTCAAAGCAAGGTGAGAAGGCATGAGAATAGGGCCAAGGGAGGCTCTCCACCAGCCTCCTGGTTCCCTCATGGAACTAGGAAAGGTATGGGGACCCAGCACATAGAACCCTAGTTCATCCCCAAGCCTCAGTGTCAGCAGCTCTGGGGAGAGATGTCCCTACAGGGAGCCAGGAACAAACACAAACACAGGCTTCTCTCTTAAAGCACGGACCAGCCGTCAGAACCCCCAAATCCAGTGGGGGTGGGCTCCCTTTTATTCTATATTGCCTCAATATGTCCCTTCTTCTCTCAAACATACCGTGTGAAGAATAGAGGTGGGGGGGGGGGTCATCCAAGTGACAAGTGGCACAGGCACCCTGCTGTCATGTTATATTTACCCAGGCTTACATATATACACATATACACACTCAAAGCAAGCATCGCCACCAAATCCCAAGTTGACTCTTGGCACGGAGTAGCACCAGTGCCCAAGAAACGCATCCTGGGGTGTCGAGTGGGGTGGGGTGGGGTAAGCTGGGCTCTGGAGGAGGTTGGAGGGGCAAGACTGTGGGAGAGAAGTCAAGTCACATATAGACCCAATGCTGACTCCCCTTTTTCTCCCTGTCCCTTCCCAACCCCCTATTCACAGGAGGAATCCAAGGAGCCCATTGCTTGTGAACCCACTGCCCTCCAGTTCCTGCAGAGATCAGAGGATGAGTGACAGCGTCCCGGGAAACTGCAGAGAGCACTTGGCTTCACAGATGGGCTGCAGGAAGGGAGCCCCCAGAGGTGCTTGAAATCACAGCACTCTGACCCGGTTTGGGGGAAAGTTTTGGAGCTCCTGCAGACTGGAGTGCTAGTGCTAACTTGTCCCTGACACCCAGCCCACCCCCGCCCCAGCCCATTCCCTTGGCTTCCTCAGAGAACGGGATAAAGAGCTTGAACAGGAGCAGTGTTTGCAAGCTTCAGGATTCTTAACCCTTAGGAGCCCCTCACAATAAGGAGGTGACAGAGGAAGGACGGATTGAGGGGAGGCATGAGCTATGAGAAAGGGGCGGAAGCCAGAGCTAAGGAATCAGAGTGGGGGGACAACTATACAGAAATAGAGGGAAAAACAAAGGGAGGGAGAAGGTTGAGAAATCTAAACAGAAAGGAAGGGGAAAAAAGAGCTGGGATCCCAGAATAAAGGATGAGGGGAGGGGAGATAGGGTTGGGAAGACACCAACTTTTCCCGAGCCAGATGCACCCATCATTTCAGTGCCCGTATGACTTCCCCCATTATACATACACAGATGGAGAAACTGAGGCTCAGAGAAGTTAAGAGACTTGTGCAAAGTCAGCCTCACAGCTGTTGAGTGGCCGAGCTCAGACCTGCAGGGCTCAGTCTCCTTCCGTCACACCGCAACCTCTGACCAAACACTAAAGGAGAAAGGCGTGCAAAAGGAAAGCAGGAGGCAGGGAGCCAGGGTGGCATCCCCGTGCAAGAGCAAGAGTGCCCTGGTGCTACCTGACTGCCAGGGAGCAAGGGCATGCACCGGGGCGTGCAGAGGGCACCAGGCTTCTCTGGGGGTCCCAGCCCTAGTCCACCACCAGGGTCTCTTGGCTGTAGGGGATGGATTTCTCCTGGGTCTGCTCCCCGCCCTTGCCGGGGTTGGGGCCGAGCCCCTGGCTGTGACCGGAGGAGTAGCTGGCCGACTTCTCCCCGCCGCTGCTGCTGTGGGAGGCTGCCCCACACCGGCGGCCGAGGCCACAGCAGAGCATGGAGGTGCAGGCCTGGCGGAAGCGGGGGTCGAAGAAGGCGTAGAGGAAGGGGTTGAGGCAGCTGTTGACGTAGCTGATGCAGGTGCAATAAGGGAAGACGTTCATGAGGAAGAGGTCGAAGGCGCAGGGCCAGCGCAGCAGGTTGCCCAGCGTGTAGAGCGTCTTCACCAGATGGTAGGGCAGCCAGCAGAGCGCGAAGGTCACCACGAGCACCACGATGATGCTGAGCAGCCGGCGCCGCTTGCGCAGGCCCTCGGCGCGCTCCTTGCGGAAGTGGCCGGCGATGGTCTGCGCGATGAAGAAGTAGCAGGTGAGCATGACGGTGAAGGGCACCACGAAGCCCAGCGCCGTGGACGTGACGCCCAGGCCCAGCTCCCAGGCCCACTCGGAGCTGTCGGAGGCCACCAGGGAGTAGTCCATGTAGCACTGCACCTTGGTGCCGTTATCCGGGCCGGAGGGCACCTCGACCGTGGCGCGCAGCAGCATGGCCGGCGCGGCCAGCAGCGCGGCCAGCACCCACAGCGCCGCCGTGGCCGCCGCCCCGCTCGCCCGCAGCCGCAGCCGCGCGTTGGCCACCGGCCTCACGATGGCCAGGTAGCGGTCGAAGCTGAGGCCCGTGAGGCAGAAGACGCTGGCGTACATGTTGACGAAGACGACGTAGCTGCTGAGCTTGCAGGCGAAGGCGCCGAAGGGCCAGTCGTAGTCCCGGTACGTGTAGGTGGCCCACAGCGGCAGGGTCACCACGAAGGTCAGGTCGGCCACCGCCAGGCTGGAGATGAAGAGGTCCGCCGAGCGCCGCTTCTCCCGGCTGCTGCTCCGGAACACGGTCCAGAGCACCAGGCCGTTGCCCGTGGTGCCCAGGAGAAAGACCAGCATGTAGATGGCGGGGATGAGGGCCCCCGACGACTGCCAGTCTGTGTACTCACACCCGGACAGGTTGTCCGCCCCATAGTCGTTGTCAAACTCGCTACTTTCCTCCATGCTGCTTGCCGGGCAGAGAGTAGGCAGGCAGGGGGTCCCAGCTCTGTGGCTGTGTCCTGTGTCACCAGCACAGCAAGCAGGCAAGCAAGCGGCCCGGGGCGTCTGGCTTGCGCCTTGGAATACAGGCAAGAGGAGCCGAAGGTGTCCAGAGCCGTCTCAACAGCGGGAAGAAGCTGCCTCTGGACCGGACCCTGGAGGATGACTGCGCCCACAGACTTCCCCACCCTCTCCTGCCTGGCCCCAGCCCCAGCTCAGAGCTTCCTGCACCCTCCGGAGTCTGTCCCGTCTCCTCCTCAGCTCCTCACTCCCTCCTCCCACCTCCAAACCAACCCCTCACTTGTGAGTCTTAAGATCTTTAGGTTACAGCCCACTTTTTTTTTTTTTTTTTCTTTTCCCTTCTTGTCACTGGGCAAGTGAACCAAATTGACCCCTGCCGTGCTGGGCAGAATGTTATCTGTGGCTTGCAGCCCACTCTCCTCCTGGTCCCGCCTCTATCCCTCTGGTTTCCTCTAATCTTTGGAGCGCACCCACCCCTTCCCCCCCCCCTCAGTCCTCACCACCCTCCTGTTCTCACCCCCTCCCATCTTCTCTAAGTGGGGCAAATTATGCAGATTGAAATCTAGCTCTAGCTGGAGCCAGGGTGGGTTGGGGACAGGAGGGTGTGAGATTTTGACCGGTTTGAGCATCTGGCAAGCCCTCCTGGCAGGCGGGTCTAGCCCTTTGGGTCTGTCCCACCCTCCCTCCACTCCTGCCTGCCTGCCCTCTCCCAGATCAGACTTCCCAGTACTTTTCTCGCTCACTTCATTTTCCTTTACCCTTCTGCTTTGACCCTCTCTGTCTCTCTCTGTCTCTGGGAACTTCTATATTTTACCAGACGCAGGTACAAGGAGATTTATTTGTAATTCATAAGCTGTCAGCATATAGCAGTTTGCAAATGGTGTTGTGGGGTCGAACCCTGAAGTCAAAATAAGACCACTGGAGGCTCCTAATTGATTTAAAAAAAAAAAAAAAGCAGGCAATGCCAAAACCGGTTTGGCTCAGTGGATACAGCGTCAGCCTGCAGACTGAAAGGTTGAAAGGTCCTTGGTTCGATTCCGGTCAAGGTTGCGGCCACATCCCTGGTGAGGGGTGTGCAGGAGGCAGCTGATCGATGTTTCTAACTCTCTATCCTTCTCTCTTCCTCTCTGTAAGAAATCAATAAAAATATATTAAAAAAAAAAAAAAAAAAAAAAAAAAAAAGCAGGCAAGGATTTATTGAACTGGCCAGGACGGCCACGAGAGCACCACATGCAGATGGAGTCCACACTCACAACCACACCATTCCAGGTGTAGGCAGTCCTTTTAAAGGTCTAAACCACAAAAAAAAAAAATTGTTCTAAATTCTAAATTCTAAATGCTACAGTAGGAGCAGCCTGCAGGGCAGCTCCCAGCCATATCCTGCTGGACATTGGAATGTGGCCCTATCTTGCGAAAGCAGATAGTACAGAAGCAGAGGTGTGCAGTTAATCTCTAAAGGTTATCTACAGTTTCTACTCCTGAAGCTACTGAGTCGGTGGGAATCCATCTCCTGTGGTCCTGGTCCACAGGCACAGGAAAACTGCCTTAGCCTCCTGGTCTCAATCTGGAAGCTGAGGTAACTATCCTAGTTTAAGCAAGTAAGCGAGTGCTGAAGCCAGAATAAAAGGGTTAAAATTCAAACAGCAGTTTTTACCTAAGTATGGTTGCTACCATACTTCAAGGACATCGGAAGTTTTAGAGTCAGGTCAGAGTCACAGGATAGAAGAAACCCCAGACAAAAGAATATCGAATCAAGTTATTAAACCTACGGGGAAACAGGTCTAGCAAGGTAAATGTCTTTTGCCCATCACAGGATGACTTTTGTTCTGGTTTTGCCATTTGCTTTTCTTCTTCTCCAAGCGCCCAACACAGTGCCTGGCATGTAGTAAGTGATCACTAAATGGTTGTTGAGTGAATAAGTAAATGGATGAGTTAGAGAGAGAATGAAAGGGAGTCCGTAGGAAGAGGGGTGAGTGTAGGAGGTACTATACAATAAGAATAGGGCTGCATTTCAGTTCTCGGGTTCTTATGCCCTACATGGACAAGGGGGCTTCTGTCAGGCCAGGGACAGGGTGTTACAGCTAGAGGAGGAAGCAGAGAAAGGAGCAGCCTGGAATAGACACCAGGGGCACAGTCCTATAGAAACTCATTCTGCTCTGCCCACTTCCCCAGGACCTCTGGTCAGGCAGGAGGGAAGGGTGCACAAGATAAGATAAAATAATACCCACCCCCCAAGAGTGGAGGAGGCCAACTAAAGTTGGGCAGGGGTGAAATGATGCAAAATCCAGTCTTGCCCACCTCCAATGCAAAGGGTTTATAAAATTAGAATCCGTTGTCTTAAGGGAGGTTTGTTCAGAAAGCCTCCCAACTCAAGTACCCACAAGGATCAGGCAAAGAACATGCATGGGTAAACAGCCAGTTTGGGACAATACTGAGTGATGGAGACATCGACGAACCAGAACCAGCATGCTCCATCAGAAGGAGGCCTCCTCCGCTCTGCCTCTGGTTACCAGCATTTCTGTGCCTTCTGGTTTTTCAACATAACTTCAAATCCTGGATTTTATGAGAAATTTCCTACATTGGGGAAATTAAAACCATTTTTACAAAGATAGGGCAGGACAGGAAAACGTGTCCTTGGGCTCCTGTTATTTGAACAGGAGCTTGCCAAGAATAGAAGGTCGGAGGAAAACAGGGAGCATAGACCAAGAGGAAGAAACATAAAATGCAAAGACTTTTTAAAAAATGAAAATAAACACAGCCAACGCCTTAGGGTGCAATGGGGAGATGCAGGAGAAGAGGCTGGAGAGGATGATAAGATCCTGAGGGTCTTGGAGGACCTTTACCTAAAGGCAATGCACAAAAGAGAACAACTTGGTGTTTCTCCTGAGGATTGCACATTGAGTCCCTACTATGTGCTAGGAATCCTTCTAACATGTTCTATTTTGTATGTACTTGTTATCTCTTTTCATTGGCAAGACAGCTCTAGGAAATAGGTACTTCATTTTGCAGATGGGGGAACTGAGGCATGGGGAGGTCCCATAACTTGCCCAAAGTCACCCAGTTAGTACTTGCCACGATCAGAATTTGAACCAAAGCTGCCTTGAGTCCATAGACTAACCCACTATGATCCCTAAGGAAAATCTCCCACCCTCTTTAACTTGAGGCATCTGTCATCCATTGAGCGCAATAGAAATGTACAACAGTGCTAGGATACATGGAATTTACTTGGAAATACACATTCGGGTGGGGGGGGCGGGGATTTAAAATAGATTGGCTAAAATATTTCACAGAGACCGCCCCCTCTCAGTTGAACAGGGTATATGAATCCTGCCAGGGAACAGTCTACACTAAACCCTCGGGATTGGCCATATAGCTTGGTCCAGAAATAGCGCTGGGCCCAGCCATTTTCAAAGAGGATTCGATGCCAGCCGGGGAGGTGACATCTTTGCAGTATGCAAAATAGTGCTTGGAACACTCGATAGGACCCAACTAGGGCTTCCCGGCTCTCACAGAACCCAGGGAACAAACTTTCTCCTGCACGTTTGTCTAACAGAAGCTTGTGTGGATGGCAGAATGATTGACTGTTGGTACAACCCGACAGCAAGCTTGGGTGGCACCAATTAACCTTCATCAATTTTGACTTATCAGAAGGGACAACAGCATTGTGCAGCAACCCGTTTGGCTCAACTCAGCTCACAGCTGATGCTCCTGTTACAATAGAAATGACTGCTCAGGACATTCCAGGATAAAGGTCAAGTTCAAGATTCCCCAATGAATCCAGATCTCTGCTTCCCCCCCCCCCCAAAAGGTGCAGGTATTCCCCTGTCCTTTGCAGCTGAAACGTAGAGGGAGGGGTGCAAGTGGCCCCAAAATCAGGCCCCTCCTCCCAGCTGTTCCCATTTGGATCCTGAGTCAGTTAGAGAGCCCAGGGAGAGGGTATGCATTCATCACTTTAATCCCCTGGCCTGGGGCTCTCTGCCTCATAGGGGGTAAGAAGCAATTAATCTCACCAGGGGAATCAGACTGGTTGAAATGAGAGGAAATGGGGGAAGGGGGGTGGGGCCAAGGCTGGGAGGGGCCGCTGATTGGGGCCAGAAGGGTGGAGTGTTGATAAGACCTGGCTTCCAACAGAGAGCCAGCTGGAGCCAGATGGGCCCAGCAGTGGCCGAGATGTCCAGAAAGAGGCCACCTCCCTCCTCAGCCCACCTGACACCCAAGGTCCCTGCCCATCCGCAGAAGAGGAGAGCTCAGTAAATAGGACCAGACCATACACGCCCCCAAGGCCCAGAAGGAAGCCCTCACCAGGGAAAGAGAGTACATGGGCAGGACCTATTTTTCCCTCCTGTGCCCCCTCAATGTGGCGCTTGGTGGACTGTAGCCATAGGAGCACACTCAGGGAAAGGAGGGGAGAGGCTGGTCTTCACCTGGAGGCTGTTCACCTTCATGAACAAGGGCGCCTCCGTTTGTTAAATTGACACCAAATGATCTAGCCTGAGCCACCGGGCAAACCAGCAGCTCAGGTTGTGCCCCCCAGCTGGCCTGTCTTGCAGAGGCAAAATGAGTTTTCTGGGGGACTTCTGTCTCTCCTGAGGGATTTCTTAGGATATTGTGACGAGCCTGAGACGAAGAACCCAGACTGCTGGGGGACCTCTGGGTCGTTGAATCAATGCCCTCCTCCACCCCTCAAGCCCCTCGGATTCCTGGCCTAGAGAGCAGACACTAGCTTGGCCCTGTGCCCTGGCTGTGTGGCTGTGCGGGGCTGGTGTGTGTTGTGGGGTCCCCTGTGAGCATATGGGATTGTGTGTGCATGGGGCACGTGTGTGCTTTGGGTGCGCTATTGACTTAGCAAGTGTACGGTGAGCCCAAGGATCTGGATAAACATCCTCCTCGGAAGACAGGAAAGGGCGGTTAATTGGATCTCTCTGAGGGCCTGGGATGAGGGG